ATATATAATTCATGTTTACCAGTACAGGTCCTATCCTACAAATGGATGAATAGCTAAATAACAATCACCATGATGCCCTATACTACACAGCCAAAAAAAATCAATATTTTAATTATCATCTCTGTGCACAGAATTTTTTTAGCTTATCCCTTTATACCCTGTCCCAAGTCCTAAACCTGTTTTTCTAAATTACAAGTCAAAATTTCTCACAAAATCTTTACCATTTAAATTGTGTTCTAGGATAAATTCACCTTGTTCATCTTTTTTATCATCCTGTGTTCAACATAAGCAAAACATAATTTCTTTGAGTCTTATTTCCTTATTTGTCAACTGGAAGAATACTTTACTTGTGTTAGTGAAAGGATTAATTACTGTAGTGATTTTGGCTAACTCACAGCTAGTAACACACTACCAAGTGATGAGCTGGAAATAGTGCTAGAATCTCTCTCACATTTCACATTCCTTTTTGGCCTCCTTCCTGCTCTTAAAGAACCCCAACACAGTGGCATCAGGAGTTACTAGCTTTAGATACAATGCTCTGCATTGCATTTGCCAAAAGCTCCTCCACTAAAAAAGCTCTAGAAGGAAGTTCTTGCAATAAAAGATACTGCCCGAAAAATGATTTTGAAAAGTAGAGAGTGACACTTCTCCATTCATGCATCTGAATCACAACACAGGGAAATTAACAAACATAAGAAAGCAATGGCAACAGCTAATTTAGGTTCACTTTTTACCACACAGGATTATTTTAAGAAGAATGAATTTACTAGTATTTAACAGTATATACTATTTTTAAATATTTTTATTGATTCTTTGATAATTTCATATAACGTAGTTTGATCATATTAAGAAGCCCCTACTGCTCTCTCCACCCCCACCTTACTATCCCACACCATGTCTTCTGGGGTTTTTTTTATGGCCTATTAGTCTAATTTGTGTTCCCCAAATGTTCTTGGCTGTGGGTCCATCCCTTCAAGCCTGATCATCCTATCCAGGATCATACTCTTAAAGAAAACTGACTCTCCCTCTCCCAGTAGCTATCAAAGGCTAATAGATCCTCAGCTACTGCTGGGGCCTGTTTCCCACTTCCCCCCATCCATGCTGGTTTTATGAGCTCTATGAGTTTTCTGGTAGAGTCTTGAGGGTACTTTATGTATAAAATCATATCATTTGAAAATAAGAATACTTTGACTTCTTCCCATCCTATTTTTATCCTTTTTATCTCCTTGAACTGTCTTATTGCTCTAGCTATAACATCAGGAACGATATTGAACAGAAATGGAGAGAGTAGATATCCTTGTCCTGTTCCTGATTTTAATGGGAATGCTTTGAGTTTTTCTCCATTTAGTATGATGTTGGCTGTGGGTTTGTGGTATATTGCCTTTATTATGTTGCGCTATGTCCTCTGTATTCCTAGATTCTCCATGCCTTTTATTATGAATGGATCCTGGATTTTTGTCACAGGACTTTTATGTATCTAATGAAATGATAATGTGGTTTCTGTCCTTGAGTCTGTTTGTGTGATAGATTATACTTATTGATTTATGTATGTTGAATCATCCCTGCATCTCTGGGACAAAGCTGACTTGATCATGGTCGATGATCTTTTTGATGTGCTCTTGCATTTGATTTGCAAGTATTTTATAGAGAAGGTTTGTATCTATGTTCACCGAAGAAATTGGTCTATACTCAGTAATTGAAAATTTCCCAACTAAAAAAAAATGCCAGCACCAGATGGATACAGAGTTCATTTCTACCAGACCTTCAAAGAAGAAATAATACCAATATTTCTCAAATTATTCCATAAACTAGAAAAGAGGGGAAACTTCCAAATTCTTTTTATGAGTGATCCATTTCCTCTACCTTGTCTCTGAGCTCTGATATTCTTCCTTCCATTTGATCCAATGTATTGTTGAGGCTTTCTTCTGTGCTTTTTTCCTGATTTTCTGAGTTTGTCCATTTCAAGTTTTATTTAAGTTTGGATTTTTTTTTCAGAGATTCGCTTTATTGAATACTAATTTCTTACCTTGTATTTTTTACTTATTTCATTCAAATGTTTGTATTTTCAGTCTTTGTTCACACTTCATATCCCATTTGAGTTCCTTGAACATATTTATAATTACTATTTTGAAATCATTGTCTTGTGCATCAGGTAGGTTGCCTTAGGAAACATTAGCATGGGGATGCTAATTTCTGGGAGATATGTACTGTCTTAGTTATTCATGTTGTTTGTGTTTTTTGCAATGGGACCTAAGCATCTGGAGTTACAATGTTGGTGGTGTTTCTTGGTATGGACAGCTGATATGATTTTTGTTGAGTGGGTGTTTACATCTCTGTTGCTACTCTAAATTGTCAGGTTGTAGCCCAGCTGACGGTGCTTAGTAGTCAGTCTTGGGGCCACTCTGTGTTCTGTGCTGATGTGTGAATGGGGTTTAAAAAGTGGTCTCAGTTTTAGCTATGGATAGGTGTAAGTTCTGTGTCTGAGGTTCCAGGACAGACTCCAAGTAGTCCTGGAGTCAAAGTGGACTGCCTGGCTGCACAGCAAGTGGGCAGGGAGACAGTTCAGTGTCGATACTTGATTAGAGGGACAGAGATTATTTCAATCCAGTAGTAACCAGTGGTAACCAAAAATAAAAATGTACAAATGTGTAACTTTTGAGTGGGTCTGTGTGGGCTAATTTAAAGGCTTCCCAATGCCAGCTATGTATAGAAGTGTGGGGATGGCCTCAAAAGAATCATAAAAATGTTATTTCAAAAAATAATACTAAACCTGATAAATTTACTGTATATCATTTTCCTAGTTTTTATTTTTTAAACTTAATTTTGGT